ACAGTTTTTGTAATATAACTTGAAGCCCGGAATTGTGATAGCTCCAGCTTTGTTTTTCTTTTTCAAAATTTCTTTGGCTATCTGGAATCTTTTGTGGTTCCATATAAATTTTAGGATTTTTTTGTTCTAGTTCTATGAAAAATGCTGTTGGTATTTTCTTAGGGATTGCTTTGGGTAGTATAGATATTTTAACATTTGTTTGTCCAACCCATGAGTATGGAATGTCTTCCCATTTCTTTGTGTTGTCTTCAATTTCTTTCATCAGTGTTTTATAGTTTTCAGAGTACAGGTCTCTCAACTGTTTAAGTTTATTCCTAGGTATCTTATTATTTTTGGTGCAATTGTAAATGGAATTATTTTCTTAATTTCTATTTCTGTTGCTTCATTATTAGTGTATAGAAATACAATTGATTTCTGCACACTTATTTTGTATCCTATGACTTTACTGAATTCATTTATCAGTTCTAGTAGTTTTTTGGTATAGTCTTTAGAGTTTTCTACATATAGTATCATGTCACCTGCTAATAGTGAAAGTTTTACTTCCTCCTTACCAATTTGGCAAGGTCTTTTATTTCTTTTTCTTGTCTGATTGCTGAGGCTAGGACTTCCAGTACTATGTTGAATAAAAATGGTGAGAGTGGACATCCTTGTCTTGTTCCTGATCTTACGGGCAAAGCTGTCATTTTTCCCCCTTGAGTATGATGTTTGCTGTGGGTTTTTCATAAATGACCTTTATTATGTTGAGGTATGTTCCATCTAAACCTACTTTTATCATGAATGGATGTTCTACTTTGTCCAATGCTTTTTTTGCATCTATTAAGATGATCATATGGTTTTTATACTTCTTTTTTTTTTTTTTTTTTAAGATTTTTATTTATTTGACAGAGAGAGAGATAGTGAGAGCAGGAACACAAGCAGGGGGAGTGGGAGAGGGAGAAGCAGGCTTCCTGCCGAGCAGGGAGCCCGATGTGGGACTCGATCCCAGGACCCTGGGATCATGACCTGAGCCGAAGGCAGACACTTAATGACTGAGCCACCCAGGCGCCCTATACTTTCTCTTACTGATGTGATGTATCATGCTGATTGATATGTGAATATTGAACTGGCCTTGCATCCTGGGAATGAATCCTACTTAATTGTGGTGAATGGTTTTTTTTTAATGGATTGTTGGATTCTGTTTGCTAGTATTTTGTTGAGGATTTTTGCATATATTTTCATCAGAGATATTGGCCTATAGTTCTCCCTTTTTGTGGTATCTTTGGTTTTGCTATCAGGGTGATACTCACCTCATGGAATGAATTTGGAACTTTTCCTTCTTCTATTTTTTGAATAGTTCGAGTAGAATAGGTATTAAACTCTTCTTTAAATGTTTGGTAACATTTGAAAAGGCAATAATTCTTAAAATTACTCACAGAGTCCTGAATACAGCCCCTGTTCTATTTCTATCCCTCGCCAGTCTTCCTTGGTCTCCAAATACCCAAACTCTAAGAATCAATCATTTGGTCTTCTTTTAAATCCTTAAACAGGTCCATAGCCTTTGCTGCCTCAGCACCCTCTCACATGCAGTGCCCCTACCTGAATTCATTACTGCCCCCTTACCTTGGTAACACCTACTTATGCTATAGATACCAACTTGAGTGTTGTTTCCTATCTGTGAAGACTTCTTGAGGCTCCAGAACCAATTAAGTACACCTGTAGAACTCTGCATATTTTCTTCAGTATATTCAGTGCACTTAAAGACTTCATATTTGTTTTCTCCACAATGCTGAAAGCCTTCCATAGCTACCACCACGACTTTGCTCTTTCCCCATACATGTAAATGACACACAGTAAGCAAAAATGCATATTTGAAATGAATGAATGAAAAATTAACAAGGGAATGGATGACTGAATGAGTGTTCGCTCTGGTGTGAACCACTGACTCTGCTGCCTTAGAATCCTGGCCACTGATCTGCTGAATGCTTCAGCCTGACGCAAGTGACTAAATGTTTGGGTCACATCCTGCTACAGTTGTGACAGGCTTTTGCACAAACTCATGCTCAGCACGGCTATGCCACTGCCTCCACACCGTTTCACAGATCGGCAACTAGAATCCCAGCCTTGTTTAGTAAAAGTTTTGTAATCACCCTCTGCTGAATAATGTCTCTCTCATGTATTTACATGGGTGGAGAGTTAGAAGATCTAGAAATCAAATGTTAGTGAGAGGAGTATTATCAGTGGTACCAGTGTGAGCAATAGGAGCTAACACTATGAGAGTGTTTACCACATTCCAGGTACTGTTCTCAGGGATTTACACATATTGACCTAATTAATGCTCAGAATAACCTTATGAAGTTTTTTTGTTTCTTAATCTGTATTTTACAGAGGATGTGACTGAGGCATATAAAGGTTAAGCAAAACCTCAAGGTCACAAATATCCTCTGAATATTTTGCCTTCTTTTAAGGCATATACTCTCTGACAGACTGGGGTGTGGGGCTCATCAAGACAACTTCACCACTAGAGGACTTTCATCTGTCCCAGATACATTCCTTTCCAGTCAACCCTTATTGTTCAGAGTTCAGGGGAGAGATTTCTCTGTTGGATATGTCAGGCTAACTTGGTCTAATGACCAACTTTCTGGCACAAAATAAATTAGGAGGTAGATAAATATCTCTAAATTTTTTAAAGCATAGACTTCTGGTTCCACTGAAGATGAAGTAGCTCCATTCCTCTCAGGTCCTCCCCTCTTGTTACACACACACACACACACACACACACACACACACCCCAAACACAAAAAATCTGTTACAGATAAAACAAATAAGCATAGGAAGATTCTAAAGGTAGAAAGAAGAAGGCAGCCTCCTAGGGATTTTGGGACCTGAGGAACAACACAGCAGTGAGTCCCTGGGTTTCCTTATATCCTGGACAGCATACTACAGAAGCCTCCCATCCAGAACCACCAAGAGACACAGACAAAAAGAACCCTAAGAAAACCCAGTTTCTCCTAACCAAAGAACTGGGAAAGAGTGGCCTTAACAGAATATAAAACATTTTGGCCATACCTACCTTACTCCAGACAAATACCTATGGAAAATCGTACCCGCCATTCACCCCCAGGTTTCAGTGGGGTCAAGCAGGTTGCTTATGTTCCCCCCACCCACCCTCTGATTCCCTTGCCCAGGTAATGTCAGTCAGGTCCAGTGGGGAAATGAGCCTCCACTGTCACCTGGCAGCATGAGACTTAATGAGGGATTGTGAGGTGGGGCTAATGGTACTCTGCTCACCCTGCCTCCAGCCCTACTTGGGAGTACACCCACTGAGCTGAGCTTTCACCCACACCCTGCAATGATAGGGCAGAATGAACCTGCTCTCTACTTCCCCCTTTCCTAGTGGCAGTGGAACTCAACAAGGAACTGAGCTTACTTGGGGGCAAGAAGGCATGTAGCCAGTGTCATATTATCACTAAGAAAGAGCCATCAGGGCAGAGTGGGCAGCTGGACTTCCATCTCAACCATCTGCTGGGAGCATTTTGCTAGAGTTGTGTCAGTAGCGCTCAATAGGAAGGTGAACACACACACTGACATGGTGCTTGCAGCTACACCTCAACAGGGCTGAAAAGGCATTTCATACACCCAACCTACAGAACATCCTTAAACATGCTCAGAACACTAACATTGGCCTACAATTGGGCAAAATCATCTGACACAAAGCCTATTTTATAATGAAGTGTTGACTATCTCGTAATTTATTGGATACTGTACAGAAAGTGAAAAGCAGATGGTTGTATAAGTACAGAACAGTTGTGTGTGGATCAGTTATTTACTTCCTGATTGTGTGGCTGACTGGGAGTTGTGGCTCCATGCTGCTGCCCCGCATCATGAGTGATGGAAGAGATTCAAATTCAAAATTTGAAGTATGGTTTCTGCTAAATGCATATAGCTTTCACATCAATGTAAAGGCAAAAAATCACAAGTCAAAACCATCATAAGTGAGGGACTGTCTGTGCTAAAAGAAAAGAATTGTCAAATGTAAATTTATGACTGGCAAAACGTCGCCTTCAGAAATGGAGTAATAAAGATATGTCAGATGAAAGAAAGCTATGAGAATTTATTCTCATAAGATAGCTTTGTCAAGCTATCTTAAGTAATTGCTAAAGGAAGGTCTCAGAAAATAAATGACAAAAAAAGACCTGGGACTTCAGTACTTAAAAAAATACATACAACAGATGAAAATAAAAAGCAACATATCAAAACATGGGAGATTGAGATAAAGCGGTGCTGAGAGGGAAATTTACAGCACTAAATGCTTACATAACTAAAAAGGAAAAGTCCTAGAATATATAAAATAATTTTGAAAGACAAGAATAAGGTGGGAAGAATCACTTCACGTGATATTAAGGCTTACTCCTTAGCTACAGTCATCAGGACAGGGTGTTACTGGTGGAAGATTAGACACACAAATCACAGAGGCTGACTAGAGAAGCCAGAGAAAGACCCCACACAAGTGTGCCCAACTGATTTTTCTTAAAAAGGTACCAAAGCAATCCAATGAAAGAAGGAAGGCCTTTCAACAAACAGTGCTGGAGCAATGAGACACCCATGGAGGGCAGAAGCACCTTGACATAAACTTCACACCTTATATAAGGACTAACACAAAATAGAACATGGGCCTGGATGTAACAACTATAAACTATAAACCTTTAGAAAAAAGTAGGAGAAATGTTCAAGATACAGGGCTAGTCAGAAAGTTCTTAGAAAAGACACCAGATACCTATCATGAAAATACTGTATTACAAAACAAGTTTGGATTCTTTAAGGATGCTCGTATGTATATATGTGTACACCACACACAAACATATTTACACATATTTTAAAACTATACACTGTACTAGAGAAATGGTGATGTCAGGATATTTTAGGTAATTAGTTAATACTTTAATTGCTTTGTACACAAAGAGACGATTTCATTGGAAATACTCCACTTTTTCTACTTTTATTTATTAGCAGTCTATACATTTTTAAATGTCCAGTGTCCTTTTATTCACCATCTGAGGGATGAGCCTATCTGTCTTGCCTAGTACCTTCCTCAGGGCCATCTGCATCTCTTTGTTTCTGAGACTGTACACGATGGGGTTCAGCAGAGTTGTCAGCACTGTATATGTGACAGCCATCAGCATGTCCTCACGCAACGAGTCCCTGTCCCTGGGCCTCAGGTAGACAAAGCCAGCAAGTCCGTAGTGTATGCACACCATAGTGAGGTGGGAGGAGCAAGTGGAGAAGGCCTTATCCCTCCCCTTGGCAGAGGGCATCTTCACAACTGTGGACACAAGGAAGACATAGGACATCGTGATGAAGACAAAGCTGCCCACCAACACAAAGGCAGAGAGCACAAAAATAGCCCTTTCCTGACGGGAGGTGTAGTCACAGGCAAGGCAGACCACAGCTGAGATGTCACAGAAGAAGTGCTGGATGATGTTGGAGTCACAGAAAGACAAGTTGAACACAATGATGACGATGCACAGGGAAACCAGGAACCCAACCATCCAAGAGGCCATGATGAACTGAAAGCAGATCTTATGGGTCATCAAGACGGGGTAGTGCAGTGGGTCGTGAATGGCAGTATAATGGTCATAGAACATGGCAGCCATGATGAAGCAGTTATTGGCTGCTAAACCAAAGAAGAAAGACATCTGTGTGGCACACTCAGGAAGAGAAATGGTCTTGGGTCTCAGGCTCTCCCATGCAGGGTTGCCTGAAACTTGCCCCGGTTTTCTTGACTAAAGTCTAGGTGACATCTGTGCTGCAGCAGCTTTTTACAATCATCTCAGAGGTTTAGCCCTCCAGAAGCTCTGAATCTGTGGAAGACAGTTGCTGCCTGCACCACGAGGATGGGCAATCACACCACAGTGAGCACATTCCTTGGCAATCACACCACAGTGAGCACATTCCTTGGCAATCACACCACAGTGAGCACATTCCTTGGCAATCACACCACAGTGAGCACATTCCTTGGCAATCACACCACAGTGAGCACATTCCTTGGCAATCACATCACAGTGAGCACATTCCTCTGTGGGGGTTTTCCAGTTTCCCAGACTTGCAGGGTCTTCTCTTTGTGATGATTTTCTTCTCCCATGTGACCATCCTAGCTGCAAATGTTTCCATAATGGCGGCCATCAGACTCAGTCACAGCCTTCATACCCCCATGTATTTTTTCCTCTGTTGCCTATCCTTTTCAGAAGCCTGTCCCACTATGGCAATCATCCCCCGCATGTTAGTGGACTTGCTCTCTGACAGCAAGAGCATTTCTCTTTTTTTTTTTTTTAGATTTTTTTTATTTGACAGAGCGAGAGACAGCGAGAGCAGGAACACAAGCAGGGGGAGTGGGAGAGGGAGAAGCAGACTCCCTGCCGAGCAGGGA